CCTCCCCCCCCTCCATCGCCCCCGCCCCCTCGGGGGAGAACCCGGCAGAAACCCCTGAAACCCCTCTCGCACCCTCGTCTTAATTAGGAGTCTGAATCTGCGGCGGACACGCGTATAAGGGTAGGTCGGAGGAGGTCGAAAGGGGGGTGAAATGTGGGTGGTTGGTCGGTTCGCTCGTAGCGGAGGCCGGGGCAAATCTGCAGACGAGCCTCGTGTCCGAGACATTATTCCCGACTTCGCCGCGCGATCGTCCGGCGGCGCGTCACTGCCGTCGGGCTACCCTTTTTATTATTCCCCGAGATAAACACATTTGCGCGTCCTTAGCCTCCTTCCTCCACCGTGGGATCAACGCCGGCTCGCGCACAGTCCATTTTCTGGACGGAAGAATTTCACCGTCGACTTCACCCCCGTTTAACGCGCAATTAGCCGAGTCCGCGCGAGCCCCTGTTCATGTTTCTTACGCTCATGCGGGATGCCTCGATGTTACTCGCTGCTCACTTACTCAAGAGCGAAGGAACGAATTACTTTGTATTAGTTGTCTTTGGAGATTTTCTAATACTCGTTTCTATCAGTTCCCGTTGTATCGTTTTCTTTATTCTGCATAGGCTCCTTCTGTGATCGTTGCTGTCATTCATTAAAACTTGAACTCGGTAATGGCTTATTAATGACTTATCGATCTCGTTGCGCTTCATTAAGTGTGTTTTCTCCTTTCACACAACGTAGAAGTTGCGTTTCTGAGCGCGATTCGAAGAGTGACATAAACTGCGTCTCGGAGAGATTCAGGTGGAAATTACGGATGACGTAGGTAATAGTCGCGATTGCATTGGAATAATTAATTGTAGCCAGAGGCTCGCAGAATTTTAAGGAACTCAAAGTACGCGTACATACGCGCGGGCAGCGGGGATATTTACATGCGTGGTACATATAGGGTAGTACATGGAGGGTAGGCGGCGGTGAGGCTCAACCGAGAGGATATTGGGGTTAGGCCATTCATTAGATTATGGGAATTTGGTGGTACCCGTCGAAGGGAAAGGAGAGGAAGAGCTGGGGCTCGGCTGCGCGATCAAGGACCACCCCACGTGCATTAGCTTGCGTCACAAGGCGCAGCGAAAGGGTTGAGGGTTGAGAATGCGGAAAACAAAAAGAGAGCTTTTCTTCGCGAGAGTTTACGCTTTTGTGCGAAATTCTTTTTATTTTTGCTCATCGTTATACATATTGTAATAGATCGCACGGAAAACAATTAGTATCAATTCAAAAACTCATATATAAACAAGAATATATAATCTCATATGAAGACACAATTCGCTTATACGAAGAAATTCTATACAACTTAATTAAAAATATCATATTTTTATTATTCAAGAATAATTTTCATGAATTGAGAGGAAAAAATATTAGAAAGAATGATGTCTTCAGACTAAGAATTGTATTAGCTTGAAGATGTCGTTCTTTTTCTGTCTAATATTTTTTCTTCTCAGTTTACGAAAATTAATCTTAAATAATAAGAATATCATATTTTTAATGGAACTGTACAAAATTTCTTCATGTAAACAAGTTTTATCTTCACGTAAGGTTATATATTCTTGCTTGTATACTAGGATGAGTCTTGAATTGAGACTAATTTTTTCCCGTGCGAAAATAAAGATGTCTCGCGCCATTTACATTTACTAAACGCATTTAACTACTGCCGATTTAGATGTAACAATAGTAATTGTGCGTTTGTACTCGAATTTAGAAAAGTAATCGGCGATTTTCTTTTGCTGTTGCAGAGCCGTCCCTCGCAAGGCGGGAGTATCCCCGCCAAATCATGAACAAGGTAAGGGTTTGATCATAGCAACGTAGTAATCATAACAATATACAATGTCGCCTGCGCATCTGATTGACGAATTCACAATTATTCGCCACCTAAAATTGTTTCCACGCGTATTAACCCGTATCTCAATAATCGGACAAAGGAACATCGCGCCATAAGCGACGATTTGCATCTTTCATCGAGGAGACTAGCGAGTCAGTTACCAGGGAGGATCGATCTAACACCTTTAATTGGTTTTCGTGCACCACGACTCACATTGCGTGCTCGTATCTTTAGTTACCGTTACCGCAATGTCTGTGTGCGCCTACCGATCAACGAAAATTTTACACGTGCGCTTCGTACCGTTGCGTATTAAAAATCACATTGAGCGTGCGAGAAATTTGCATTTTGCAGCGCATACGTTCCGCGCTCGTTTCAGGCTAACGATTACAATTCACGTTTGAGCGTGATCGTCAGATATCATGTCAGACAATCGATTACTTAATATGACATTAGCTTTGCGTGTGGCCTATAAATTAATAATCACGTTGGAACGTACCAGTGGAAGATATTTTCTTCCGCCTCTAAGGCGCTCCCCTCAAAGGTAACGCTATGAAATCTCTCGAAAATACTTGTCACGTCGAGAAAGTCGTTTGCATCAACGTGTTAGTTACTTGCACCTACTTACAATGTACACGTATAACTTGAACCTCATTTGTAGGCCCTTTATGCGCCGTCTGCCTTTCCTCATTATGCATTGCACATGAGAAAACTTACTTGGAATCTCTCTCTCTCTCTCTCTCTCTCTCTCTCCCTCTCTCTCTCTCTCACTCACTCTCACTCTTCTTTCTGTTTCACTCTGTCGTACTGTTTCCCCCTCGCCACCTTCGTTCCGGGGGTGCCGAGCCACCACCTACCTACCCTCTCCGTCTGCTCCGCACATCGTTGCCCCGCCTCGTACCTCGGCTTCTTTATAAACTTTTAATGACGGCAAAGCCTAATCGAGAGAACGAACGAGCATACCCGACCTCGCGGAACTACCTGGGAAAATCAACGTTGGATCTCGATGTTCGATACCGAACCAGCCGACCGTCACTGCGAAAAGACGTTCGCGCAGTCTGCGATAATGGCGCTCTGCGCGCCACTCGCTAATTATTATTGATTAATTTATCAATATTACCGGGAGTATGGTAGTCGGGGTTTGGGGGCGCGATACACATCCACGGTAATATCCGAGTAGTCGAGCAACTTTCGTGACGATGGCGCGTTCATTACTTTCGCGATGCTACAATATAATACGCGTCCAATGGCGAGGGAGGTTTCGAAAAAAAGAAGAGAACAGAAACTTGATGTATCGGTATATATATATATGCATATACCGATACCTCATTATCGGTAGTCGCGATACGTAAAATATATCGTGATAAGTGCGGGGCGAGGAAGCAGGAGCGCTCGAGCTCGCGCGGAGGTGCTTTCGATTTGCAACAAATCATTCAGCGTTTACACCCGGTTGCCCGTCCAGTTGAATTAAACTTCCACCGAGAACTTCGTTCTCCGCTCACCGGCTCGGAGGCATACATATACACCGGGTATAGCTAACGGTCCGTACCTGCGAACTGCTTCCCGAAGTTCGCTCCCAGTGCCTTCGTGCGAAAGCAGTTAGCTGTTTGACGTAGCGCTATGCTCGTTACGGACATGTCGGAATTAACGTGCCTACGCACGATGTATACGCGAGTCGAACAAATTAAAGCGACACCCATTCGGAAGTTTGATATTTTTGCGTGTTTCCGCCAGGGATGATGCGCGACATCGATGATACTCGAAATTAATGTACTAATTAGCATAATGTTCTAAAATTATCATCCGGTAAATAGGATGTTCGAAATTCGCTACGTCTTTGGACATTAACGTCTTACTCATTGCACGCGTGTGTGTGCGAGCGCATTAATAGTTTGATATCGAAGAGTTGTCTGCCAGAAAGCTCATTTAAGTAACTTCATTTAAGATTTGTCAGGGTCAGTAGTAGAGGAAAAGCACCAAGAGGTTAATGTTGCATATTTTTTTTAATTCTAACAATGTTGCGATGTATATTGCTCTTTTATTATGCGGAAAGAGATCTCCTAATTTTTTTCGACTCGTTTAAGAAAACAAACAGGAAAAATAGGAGAAAATCAGTCGCTGGTAACTTCAACTGTATTCTGTGAAACGATATTTCACGGCAAAGCTCATGTATGTCCGTTGAAAGACCGATAAACTCAGGTATCTCGGTTTACAGAACAACTAACCCTAACTTTTCTTGCGTAGTTCAGTGACAGAAGATAGAAATTGACACGAGATCCAAAATGATTTGAAAAGTTCCAAACTTACACTACAAAATAGCGTTGTCAAATAAATTACTGGGTTGATAATTTTCACAGGAAGAAAGCTCAGCAAAACTTCGGCACGGTGAAAAACTAAACGACTCGAATAACACAACCGAACCCTTGCAAACAGAAACTGTTACTTCAGCTCCAACTGCTGTACACAATAGACGAAGTTCACGTACTGTCCGAGAAAGTTAATACTTCACAACCGAGAAACGTGGGTATGTCGGCTTACCATACCTGTGCCAGTTTCGATGCTTTTCCTTTACTTTTTCTAGCAATGCCATATTGGTCGAAACGCACACTTCTTTACGCACTATCGTCGGTTCATAAACTCGCTCGTACACGCCGAAGTCTTTCCTCTTACCCTCGGAAATGGGGGAACGGCGACATAAACCCGTAACGTTCGGCTCCTAAAGCACGATTAAACTAATCCTTACTTATTTGTTCCGTGTTCCTCAATGCGTATATGTCCTGCCTTGCTCTTAGATATATCTTCTGATTGTTGCTTACGGTTTCTTTGGGGACGCCCCCGCGGAAATTTGGCGAGTCCGAAGTTTTTCTCGAATCGCTTTTACGACTGCCGTCGTAATTTGTTTTCCGGGTAGACTACGAGCTGCGGATTTTTAATGTTGAAACGGGATTTCTCATAGAGAGAGAGAAAGAGAAAGAGAGAGAGAGAGAGAGAAGGGGGAAAGACTACCTCCGGCTTTTGGGAGTCTCATTATCGCGAGCGCTACTCGCGAGGCGAACGTATTCGCGGCTTTCTTTCCGGCGGCGTTTAAAGGAGGAGTCGGTGTCGGAGTGTATACCGTGCGCCATTTAGCGGCGGCACTCTTTCATAAAGGACCTTAATAAAAATCCCAATCTAAACAAGCTTAATTTACGTCGGCCACATAATTACCTACCCCGAGGCACGACTTCCCTCGCTCACCTCGCGCCCCTCCTCCTCGTTCTCCCGCCGCTCGTCGCGGATCACCTCCGGCTCGCTCCGCTCCGGGAGAGAAGGAGGTGGAACGGGGAGCGAAGGAGGCGCCCACGTCGAGAGCGCACTGAAAAATCTAAGAGGCTTAAAGCATTAAAAGGGTTATATAACATTCATTACCAGCGGGTCAGCCTTTGTGAAATTTCCCTTGGAAGCGCCGCCACTCGGCGGACACGGTCTTCTCCCGGCCTCGTTGCCTCCCCTTGCTTCCTCCCCCCTCCCCCTCCTTCCTTCCTCGATTCCTCTCCTCCCCCGACTCCTCGCCCACGCAACCGGGTCTCTCTCTCCCCGCCGTCTCCATCTCGTCGCGTGTCGCGCTCTCGCAGCATCCGGCTGCGTCCCTCCGTCTCTAGGGGTGCAGAGTAGTCACGTGACCGCGCCATCGTCCGGCACAAGGGGCGGCGGTGGCGGAAAGTGGCGGAGAAAGGAGAAGAGAGGAGGGTCCGCCTCTGATGAAGATGTCGCACACGCCGGGGACCCCGGCGAGATTACTCGGGTTAGAACCTGCGGACCCTGGTCAGGGCACATGCTAATTGCTTTATTTGACATCAAGAAATAATGTACCGCTGTTCCACGGTACGGCCGCCGCCGTTGCCACCGCCGGCGTCGCCGTGCGGGAACCCCGCGAGAAAACGAGAGATCCTTCTCCTCGCCGCCGTTACTTCGACTATTCCTATAAATTTGCCGCGTGTCCCGTGCGGAGCAGCGGGCTCTCTCCCGAAGATCGTAAATTATCGTCCGGCACAAATGGGGTACGTACGTTGACGTATTCGCTCCTAGCGTCGTCCCGCAAATCCGGCCGAACAGGACGACGGAGGAAGGCGCACGCGCGCGTATAAATTAACACGTCGACTGCCGCGCGCTGATTTCCACCGATCGTTTCAAAACGCGACTGAAGTTCGAATGACCAGAGGCGCGATGAACGCGATTAGTGACGCCTGTCAGATGGTTTCGTTAGGTTTGCTTTCTATTCCTGAACTTGCTGTATTAGTTCAAGCAAGCTGCGTCCCGATATTCATTGCCAATATTGAAAATCTATAGTCCCATGTTATATTAGAGCGAAAGACCCAATCGTACCGAGGTTAGACGAACATATCCCGATTGAATACACAGAGGAAATGATTTCTTTGGATTCACTGAGATTGTTTTAATTGAAACAAATTAATCGCAGTGCCGGTCAACAGGCATCTCCCAGGTGGTAATCAACGTGTTAAACTCGAAGTTTCGAGATACCCTGGAAAATACGCCATGTCCTGAACGTGACATCCGAGTTACGCCTCTCTCGTCTCGTTACGATAATATTCCTTTACCATCGTAAGTTTCCGATGGAAAAAACGATGGCGACGGCGGCGGCAACGGCGCGCCACGTGGCATGCAAAGTACAAGAGCAGTTCGGCTGTAAAGAAGACTTATACTTTCACTTTCGGCGCTACGCGACTCAGCGGACCCAATTCATGGAAGCTACGTGAGACGACTGGCTACGTCGCGTAGGTCAACTAGAAGCCGGACCTAATAACCCTTAGTCGAGGCAATAAACATTTTTCCGGGTTACATATGGCGGAATTTGTATGCCAAATCGCGCATATCCCGGGCGCGTTCCGACGCGGGGCACGCGCCTCTCTCGTAAATATGCCTTCGGTTGGCAAAGTGCTATCGCGAGCGGGAGCGCACGGGGG